CTTTCCAACTCACTCCTTCCTCCTGCCCTGCCTGGCCAGTAGCCTCTGCCCTGCATCTCACCTGCCATTTGCTTTTAGTCTCTCCTTGAGATTTTGTTTCCTGAATTACATCATAGCCCTTCCAGAGGTCTAGCTCCTGCCCCCCTTGTTGAAAAACAGGGTATCTCTACTTCTGCATCGCTTGAGCCTAGTAGAGATGCCATTTAAAGCACAAGAGAAGCACTGTGCTTTTGGTTTAGTCACCTGAACTGAGTCCTGAAACACTCTGCAGGGACCTGTGGTTGCAAAAAGTCCTTCTTAGGCCTGTCTATGGAGAGTCTTCAGCATAGGTGAAGTCTTTGCATTTTAAGATCTGAATTTCCCCAGACTTCTGCTAGGCAGAATTGCCTGTCCTTTCTTTTTCTCATTCTCCACAAAGCGTTCCTTGAACTGAAAATTTCCAGATGTTTTCAGTCTGAGGTAGACACGGAGAATTTCCATCCAAAATGGTAAATATTGGTGAGGTGCTAAGCAATGACAACAGGATTGTCAAGTGAGAGCTCTCAGGCAATCTTTTTTGCTCTCCTCTGTTTATCTTACAGCAGATAAGCATTGTAGATTGCTTGGGACCTTCACAGTTAACTTTCAATTAGTGTAAAATAAAAGACAGCGGATTGTTGTTGAGGGCTGTTGCAGCAGCATGGTAGGCCTGTCAATGCCACACTTGTGTTTTCTCTCTCTGATGCAGAAAAATGCTCAAAGCCGTTATCTCCTGCGGTGCTGTCTAATATAGTCAGTTCAAAAATGCTTTTTATGGGGTTAGGTAACAGCTATGGTACAGAGGACAGGACAATTGTAATTATTTGCAGCAGGACCACCCCTGCAGTCTGGTAGAAGGCAACACAGCAATGTGTGTAAGCACTTTTCTGACCTGCCTCAGACAGGGCTGCTTCCTTCCTACGCTAGCAATAAGCTTAACTTCTGATTTTATCTAATATAGAGCGTTGTTTAAAACAAAAGGCCAAGCTACTGCTTTTTCTTAAATACTCTGGTATGAAATATTATAGAAAAATACACAGAACATTCAACAGTGTACATGTGCCATATAGAGCATCTTTCACACACAGTCATAAATTCCAGTGACTTGCTGCAGCTGGAAATTGCGCTCTTTCAGGGGACAAATTCTCTGCTTCACCTTGGAGGTTCTGATGGTAATGCATTGGGATGATTCTGTATACCAAATTCTCTGGTTTAGCACTTTTCTGAGTCTAATGTGGTGAAAAATAATGCTTTCCCCTGATAACCCAAGGAAATGTTGTGTAGTAGGGATAAATATGTCACATAAAAAGTGCTATACTGCAGATGCCTAGTAGCAGTGAGTGTTAGCATTGATATTAGCCAAAGCAATTGGCCAGCATTGAAACAAAACTTAACAAGGTAGTGTGGCCCAGCTATTAGCTATTTATAGTTCCCCCAGGCCTCCCTCCTTCATCTCTGAAAACTCCTTTCAGCACCTTCTGGTTTTGTCAGTTGCTCACTGCTGTGTGTATGCAGCTCTTCTTAGGCGTCAGCGGCAATCAGATATTTCTACTTTCAGAGGGCTACTCGGACAAGTGTCAAACTCTGGATACACAATCAAGTGTATTTACTTTTTTGGTTTTTTGTTTTTATTTTACTGAAGATACTAAAGAAGTTACCTGTATTTTTTATAGGTAGATCTTTATAAGAGAGTGCTTATTTCATCCTCATCTTCTAATCAGGCATACAGTACATCAAAACCAGCAATTAGATTCTGTATTTAGAATTTTACTGTGCTGACATTTTCTGTGCAACTGTATACATGAGCGGAAATGTGATGCTCATTCCCTTATTTCACAATGTGCCACAGTTGTCATTGGAGTTCTAGCTAACACAGTTATGTCATACTGGGAGTTGTTATTTATCTGTATTTCACAGATGGGGAAAGTGGGACACAGAGCGGTTAAGTGACTTTGCTTAAAGACTTAAAGAAATGTGTGGCAGAAACAGGAGTGAATTCAGGTCTGCTGATGCCCGGTCCACTGCCTGTAGTCATAAGAGCAAGCTCTAAATGAGTATTTATAGTGGAAAAGTGTGCATGTTAATTATTGCAAATGAGATGATTGTAACCAGACAAAATGAAGGTACAGTAATGGTTTGTATATTCAGAACAAAGCTTAAACATCTGTGCCTGTCTTCCCTCTGACATGACACAACTTTGCAATCATAGACCATGGTTTCCTACTTTTAAAATGCTGTTTCCTTTTAAAGAAAGATTATGATGTGGAGAAGATTGCTCAGAAGTCTGATGAAAGCCAAGTAGACGGTGGCCAAGGAAACCTGCCTGGCACTAGGAAAATCTATGAGTTCTACAACGCACCAATTGTCAAGTTCTGGTTTCACACGGTTGGTCATCATGCTAGAACTCAGATTGCCAAAATCCTCCTTTGATCTGATCCTTCCAATACTGCTTGATGCTGCTTTTACATTACCTAGCATGGATTTGCAGCCACTTAGTGGTGGGGGTGGATGGGAAGACATTGGAATATTTCTCTCAGAATGAAGTGAAAAGTTTTTCTGCTAAAATCGTGCAGCTGCATTTAAAAAAAAAAAAAAAGAGAAAAAAATTATAAGGAACTAAAGAAAAACCTGAGCACAGCTTTTTACAGTAGTTAATTGCACATGTAGAGATAGCTTTGAAGCTGGCCTTAAATACCTTAAATAGCTCACAGATATTCGTGTCCCTTTCTTTAGGAACTGTTTCTGAAGGAATGAATATTAATCTGTAGGAGATAATTTGCTGTAGAGAAATATGCATTTATTAAATCAATTCTAGTAACTAACCCTGTGTCAGTAGAGTTTAGGATATTTAAGATCAGGCTGCCTGTTGGGTCAGACCACCATGTACATAAACTGTCACTCCTTTAACAGTGTGTCGTTAACTGCTTTATAGGTTGTTAATCTATTATCTCAGATATGTTTATAGCGTGTTAAAGTATGTGCTTTCCGCTTGATAATGTTCCTCCTGTGTTTTGGAAGGCACTGATTAACCAGCAGTGATTCACATAGCTTTGAGAATGGTTACCTGCTCCTACAGAAGGTTAGGATAAAAACATAGCACTACCTTTACATTCCAGTAACAATGTGCAGATAAAATAGTCTGTCTCGTATATGGGTTTGGGGCCTAGGTGAACATGTGCTGCAATAGTTCGTCTTCTGCTCTCATTTTTTCAGCACTAAAGCGCCAATTTCCAAATGGTGTTTAAGGATATTCCCGTAAAAAATACTTTGGAGGACTGGAGGAAAGCTTTTGGGCTCAAAAATCTGACAGTGCCCCAGTAGTTTGAATACATATAGTCAGGCTAATCACCTGTTAATATGTTTGCAGAAATCTGTTAGAGATTTTTGTGCATATGGATTATATACCCTCTGTTTTGTAGATGGCGTACATGGCGTTCCTCATGCTCTTCACTTACACTGTGTTGGTGAAGATGGAACCAAGACCGAGTGTGCAAGAGTGGCTTGTTATCATTTATATTTTCAGCACTGCTATTGAAAAAGTCAGGGAGGTAAGATTTTCCATTCACACTTCTCATCTATAGTGGGTATATTATAAACCAGAGAATACCATAAACTGAAGAATGCCAAATCCTGCATTCTTTTTGTAGAGAATTTAGCAGAGGAAAGAATTATACAGGGCATTTATTTCTGAGAAGTCTTTTTATTTGAAGACCAGTACTTGGGCTTTGAAAATGCATCTTAAAGTTTGTCCTTAAATCTCTATTTTTCTGTGTAAAGTCAGTGGTAATGTGCAGGTTGCTTGAGAGTGATTGTGCTGAATTGAGATTTGGAGCCCTGATGTAGGCACCTGTTTCTTAATTTTTTTGAGTGGACCATTGGATTTCTTATGACGAATATGGAATTTGTCTTTAGATATTTACTTTGAGTGTGGACATTGTTGTTGATTAATAGGTGTTATGCGTAGGATGATCTATGGCTTTCCATCAAGTCTAACTGACCAACTGATCAACTTTTAATGCTGGACTCATTGAGCATGGAAAAATGATATTCCAATGAAAATTAATCACAATTATTTGCAGTTGATTAGATCTGAGCTTCTGAACACAACTTGCACTCCAAACCTGAGGTTGGGGATAAATGCAGCTATGTATTTCCCAAATTATTGCATCTGATCGGACATATCTTCACTGTAGAGTCGGCACATAGTAAACAATAGTAGTGTGAATTGTCTTGTATATGACATTTGAAATGCTGTACTTTTAGAGGAATAAAACTGCAAAAAAGCAGTCACACTTCTGTGTGAAGGATGCTGTTCCAACAGATCACTCAGAAGACTGCGACATCAGAACGAGAGGTGAAGGATTTCAAGGGGCAGCAGAAATGCTGAGAATATATTGAAGCTTGGATAAACATAGAAGTTCTGTGGCTGCATGAGATAAAATTAAGAAAAATCTATGCAAGGATTGTCTAATTGAGAAAAAATTTGTGGAATAGCAAGCACTTTGGAAATCACTGTTGTGCTGTTGCATTGTGTTGATGGTGGGACAGTGGAAACATCAGCTCTTCTTTCTAGCATTAAAATTCATTGGAGACTTTGAAATTCATGTCTTCTACTTGATTTTCTTTGTCCATGTACTAGTTCTGGTCTGCTGGCAAAGACTTTGTAGGACACCGTGTCTTACACGTGCAGCTAATTAACTGCTGAGGGCCTTGTTATATATAACTGCAAACCTCTATTTCTCTAGATTGTATCAACTAATTGTTAAAGCCTTAGGCCCTGATCCTGCAACTAGTTCCTCATGTGAGTTAGTCCAGCTGAATTTAGTAGGATCACTTGTTTACATTAATGTGTTCATATGCGTAAATTCTTGCAGGATCAGGGTGTAACATTTCAAAATCTCTCCATTGCTTGGTACTTATCAGTATGATCTTACATAGCACTGCATAATTGGCCTCACTTGGTCAATGTGCAAAGGTTTTATTTATGGCCTCCCAAAGATTCCACTTCACACATTTGCTCAGTGAAGCTTAAAATCCCTTTGGGGCACCTCACAGTTCAAGGAGTGAACGTTTCATTCTTTACCTTGCTAGTTGCCAGCACTCCTTTTTTTAGCATGTCCTTGGTGGAATACAAGGATCTTTCTTTATATTTTCAGTCTGAAATAAAAGGCATTATTAGTTATTTTCCCATCAGCAAGGTTAGGTTGGTACTTTGCATGACTTAGGGGCTTTTGAAAGGGCTGTTGCGAGTCATGACCATTCCTCTAGAAAATGCTTGTTAATTTATAATGATAGGTATGCATAACAGTTCTATACTGGCTGCTCTTTTCTGCTGAGGAACGTGCTCTTTAGTGAATGGGTTCAGGCTCAGAATCCATTTTTCCTTAGGAAGAGCTATCCTATTTGGTGTCGCATACTTGAGCAATACGGCACTATAGATTAAGTACAAACCTTAATTAATGGTGAATGGCAATATGCAGTACATGGGCCTGCAAAAAGAAAAAGAATTATACATTCCCAAATATCATGAAACAGTTCAGACAGAAAAGGTTAAAGAATATATCTGTGACTTTAATGGAGTTTCTTTGGTTTTTTTTTCCTCACATTCTACTCAGGTATTTATCTCAGAACCTGGAAAATTCCGCCAAAAAGTGAAGGTGTGGATTTATGAATACTGGAATTTTACTGATTCTATAGCAATCATCCTGTTCATGATTGGTTTTGGCTTGCGCTGGTCCGACCCCCCTGTTCAAACTGCAGGGAGGCTACTTTACTGCTTGGATATAATATTTTGGTATGCTCGGCTCCTTGATCTTTTTGCTGTAAATCAGCATGCTGGCCCATACCTGACAATGATTGGGAAGATGGTAAGTATTATGCTTTGGAACAATATTTTTGTAGTTAAGGCATCTGTTGAGGAACGTGTAAAGCTCATAAGTGACAGAAAAGAATGATGGTCAAAGGGGAGGTCATCTAACAATTCATAGTGAATGTATTACCTGAAAATACCACTTTCTTTTTCTGTTTGTGAGTTGACTGACATAATCAGATTTCCGTTCTCTCTAATTTATTCATTATTTGAATTTATTCACAAAAGCTATTTTTGCTTCATTCCTTAGAGAAGGGTTGCATTTGAGTTGAGTTTCTGATCCAGCTTGATAATAGGAGAAAGAAAAATCACTGTCTCTTGCAGTTGGGCTCACTACTATAGATAATTCCCCTAGCTCTTGGAAACTGTCTCATTATTATTTTACATTTTGATTCAAATAATTATATCCCATTTTAGCAGGCAAAATTTCTCTGAGATCAAAGTTAATTTTTTTTCTCTTTTGGTATAAGAACTGCTGCTGAACTACTGCCTAGTCTTGAGGGACATCTGCAGATTCCCACTGTAATTTCCCTCGGTTATTGGGAACTATCTTATTAATACTTTTATATTCTGTCTTGCATAGTAATTCTGATTCAGTGTTAGAAGGCAAAATCATTTTCACTGCTATTCCTTGTTCTCAGTTTGGAAAAAATACCACTGAGGAAAAGCACCATCATAAGGTCTCTGCATTTTTCAAATCTTGCTTAAGATCTTAAGAGGGACTTGAGAGGCAAGTAGGACTTGTGGCCTTTTTGGTCCAGGTTAACTTTAACTTCTATAAAATACCTGGGTAGTCCAAGTCATAAAACTAAGATATTTTTATTTTCTCCAGCATATTAGATTATTAGCCCTGTTTTTATATTCTGATTTGTAAAAGCAGTGATTGATACTCATCTCTAAAATGTATGTCTCCTTTACATATAATTAACAGGGCTAATTCTTTCATGCAAACATGTCTTCCAGACAGCAAACATGTTCTATATTGTGGTCATGATGGCCATAGTCCTGTTGAGTTTTGGAGTGTCACGAAAGGCAATCCTTTCACCAGAGGAGCCTCCTTCTTGGACTCTGGCACGAGATATTGTATTTCAACCCTACTGGATGATGTTTGGTGAGGTCTATGCTGGAGAAATAGATGGTAGGTAATTTTCACAGTACAGCTCAACAGCTTAAATTAAATATGTGCAGAAACACGTCCACTTTGGCCTACTAGAGTTTTGACCACATATGGAGTCTGGTCTTTCTCAAACAATTTTGATTCTAGTGTACATATGTCCTGTATGAATAAAGGTGAGAATATTAGTTTCTTAGTTAAAAATAAAGATTAAGCTTTAAAACCTTCAAATCTAGCTTTTCAAATTAAGTATATTGCAAAGCTTGTAGCAAAGCACATAGGAACTAATACTAAGCTAGTTCATGGTCAGGGGATCTGGCAGTGAAATGAATTTCCAATTAGGTGAATCCAAAGCTGCTGATCTGTTGGAGAAAAGACTACAAAGTTGCCTTAAAGGAAGAAAGAATAAAGGGGAAACAAAAAAGAAAAAATAAGAAAGAAAAATTATTTTTCACCACAATAAGTAAGAGTTACCTGACATCATCCTTAAACAGATAAACCAGTTGAACATAGAAAAAATAGAATCAATCAATGTAAATAGGAAAAATGTTATATCTTGATTATGGCTTTGACCTTGTCTCAGTAAGAGAGAAGAACCAAGCACTCAAGGAGATATATCAGCATACAGATGGAAGGCATTCTCATGCTGCTAAGTGATGGGTACAAGTAAAACAGTCCCTAAAATAGGAAAGTAGATATGCAAATAGATACAGATATTTAAGATACATAGTTCAGCATAGACCTGATTCACTAAAATAATTTAAGATGTTGCATCCATTATTATTGCTGAAACAGTCACATGATGGCTATGTATTTTGGTTATATAAGTCAAAATTCTTTTAATGAAAGCACTGTTAAGTTTCACAGTTTAATCCATTTAATCACTTATTAATGCTAAACCTTTAGAAATTTGACACTTCCCAAATAAAGCTATGATTTCTCTAATGACTCTTTATGCTGTGGAATATGTCCTGAATTTAGGGCTGCTGCCTTATAAATGTGTTTTAAAATTTCCTCAAAGGTGTAAAATTTGATTAAAAATTATAAAGACTGAAAAGTATTTATTTTGACAATTTACAAACATTAAGAGGGATCCCTTAATTTCTGTGATTTGTTACTTCATTTCACAAATATTCATAGCCATATATCCTTTTGCACATGAGTTAATACGATCTTACTGAAGCTTCAAAGGAATAACACTCCAGTACTGATAAAGCAACCTTTGTGCTGTATCCTTTTCACAGTGGAGTCAGTGAAAGCTTTGCTTTAAAGATCAAAGATTGGGATTTCAGTTTACTTGAGTGTGTGCCATCTCCCAAATACATTTCAGCTGCATCATCTTTTCCCTTAACAAAAAGTCAGGGTGACTGGCTTAAGAACTGATACATATGAAATGCTGTCTACAGCTTCTGAATTGCAATGGAAACTGTAGGGCAGTAGCATCATGAAGCGGTCTCAGATCTCCTTTACATGGAGGTAGACCTTTTAGTTGGAAATTTAGTAATGTGTCTCCGTGAAAGTAACAAAGACTATTCTGTTTCTTGCTGGGGCAAATGAGGAGCACATGCCATTGCTGTGCTCTGCTCTGATTTCCGTGCTAACCATGCTCTGTATGTCCTTCACTTTCAGTCTGCGAAACCAATGAAGACTGTCCTCCTGGCTCCTTCCTCACGCCGTTCCTCCAAGCTGTCTACCTCTTTGTGCAGTACATCATCATGGTCAACTTGCTTATTGCTTTCTTTAAGTAGGTACCATGGTATATTCCTGCAAAAGCAAAAGCAACTAATAGATGTTCTGCCAACACTTCCGCAAAAACCTTTCACCAAAAATGCCCCAGCAGGGGCATGTTGATGGTGGTTGTTACCCCACCTTCCATGGGGGTCCAGTGAATAAAAAAAGAATGGTGGAAATAAGAGGGTAGGAGGAAGGGGATGGTTAGCAGACGCCTAAACTGTTTTGCCATTTAAACACAGACTCTGAAACTGGACAACTCCAGTTGGCAAATAAGCAACATTAATTCAGCTCTGAAATAATTTGTCCTTTGTCCCTAGAAGTTGTATTTGTTGTGCTGAGAGCCTGTATAATGTTCATCATAGGGTAGCTCAAGATTTAAATTGGCAGATAAGTGGAGAAGGTATTCAAGGGAAGAGGATAATGACTTTGTAGGAGCATGCTCTTCCTTCGGGAAATAATTTGAAAATTCCTGTTGTTTGGTGCAATTTGATATGTTCTAGATTGAAATCTAACTGTAGTGTTTTTCACTATCTGCCTTTTAATGTCTGCTGCAGAGTAGGAAGGGTCTTTATAGTAATTCTACAGTAATTCATAGTAATTCTGTAGTAATTAATCAGTGTCTTTATAGTAATTCTAACCTTTCAAGATTTAACAGGAAAACTGTTGTAGTGGATCCAGTTCTGTAAATATTAGTAAAGAGCAATCTAACCCATGTAGTTAATTATTTTTTTCCTAGAGTTCTAGTATTTCTGGGGAAGAAAAAGTCAGCTGTAGGTTAAAAAAATTTCAAATGAAGAAATGTGGTGATTAATATTCAAGAAAACTGAATGATCAAAACTCATTCTATTCCCACTTCCAATTAGAAATCCCTTTCGTGAAATTGTGGCAAGGCATCATTTTTTTTTTTTTTAATACACAGCTGTGAAATTGTAATTTGAATTATTTCTAGATTTAAACCTTCAGCAATGATGATATGTTAAATCTTCTGCCTAGTGATTTGATTGTTCCAGAAGTGGGACCAAAAATGGGTATGAGCAATATATTTAATTATGCTCCCAGGAGCAAAGCTGATGTTTTTGTGATTATATACTGGATGTGTGGTATGATGGTGCAGCTGAAATTACAGTGCCAGAGACCACAAAGTTGCTTGCCTGTACTTGGGTCTATGATAGTGGATACGGGAAATTATTCACTGCAACAACAGTCACGTTTAGTAATATTATGGCTCCAAAGAGTACCCTGCAGAAGAATTGCTCGTGTAGCTGCTTCTTGCATCAAGTATTTTGTTTAGGGGGAGTGCACTGAGAAGCAGCAGAACCGTTTTGTTAACACTCTTGCCTTATCCTGACTCCTACATTTAATCCAATCCAAAGAGGCAGACAATGTTGAATTCTCAGTTAGGCTATATATTAAAGTTTAAATAATCTGGCTGAGATTTCAAAGCCACTTCAGGGATATTTTTTGCCCAGTTCCCATTAATGTGAATGGGAATTGGATCTCCAAATCCGTTAGGCAGCTTTGAAGATCTCATTCTCAGTGCACTAGCTGCAGGCACATGCTGCTGCTTTGTTAAATGAAAGTTGCTAAGCTGATTTACCTCACTGGAGAGATGGGACTTTTCTTCAGTGTCAAATTAGATCTGTAGACAAGCATCTTGTGCTGTCTTGGGAATATTCCTCACGGGAGTGTTTTACCCTCCTTCCCCCTCTATCTCCCTTCTCAGTAATGTTTATTATGATTTGAAATCCATATCGAACAAGCTCTGGAAGTACAATCGGTACCGCTACATTATGACCTACCATGAGAAGCCATGGCTGCCTCCACCTTTCATCCTTCTGAGCCACATTGGACTTCTGATAAACCGCATCTTCCACCATCGGCCACCAAATGAGCTGGATCAAGAGGAAGGCGATGTTGGACTAAGTAAGCAGAGCTAAGCTGGGGACAAAAATAACTCATGAGGAATGTTTTGCTATCCTCCCATCATTTTGTAGCTCAGTTCGTCAAAAAAAAAAAAAAAGAGATCCTCTGGGTAGGAGGCTGGTTTTATTTGCAAAACTGAATTTAACCTGCCTGCCTGAGAACTCTTGTAGGAAAAAGCGACTGGGGGAATGCTTTGCTTTGTATTTGGCTTTTGCTCTGCTACATACTGTGCATCAGTCAAGTTACATCACAATTCTGAGCTGAAATAAAGGGACAGCAGCTTTTTCTGCTGATGTAGGATAGAATAGGCTTATTTTGAAATACTAGAGGTATACATTTCTGTACATTTGTCCTGAAAAGACAAACAAATTCCTTTTTAATTGCCCAGAGAAAGTAGCCGCAGAGCTCAAAGACAGAGGAGATCCAGTGATGGCAGATGCAGAGAGAGGCATAGGGGCCTCCCACCTCCTCACTACATCCTTCCCTTTGTGCACTGCCTCATCACTGCACCTTAACCCCACCTCCTTCACCCTTCCCAGCCTGGACTTCTCCATCCCAGGGTCCTTCCTAATGCCTCTTTAAGGTGATGCCAGTTCCCTGTCCCACTGTCACCAGCTCCTGCAGCTCTGCCAGGAGCAGCCCTGGCCATTGCGGGGAGGGGACCACAAGATGTTGGGATGGGAATGAATACTCAATCGTGGGGCTTGGTGATTGGTGGGGTGAGGCAAGGGGATGGGGAGGAGGAGAGACTGGTGGCTGTAACCTTATCTAAAAAAACATTGGGGAACATTGGCACATGGTATTATACAGCCTCATCCTTTTTGGTGCAACATACATCCTGGACACCTAGTAAAAGAGGTGAGCAGACCCTGCCTAGGTTATGCTTCACTTAGGATTTTCTCTGCTGAACATGAATCCCTGAAGATACCTGGCACACTCACAGGTGGTTACAGAGTTAAAAAATGGGCTTAACTAATCAATGCTGAGCCGCTTTACTGCTGCTCCCAGGCTCAGCTCCTCCATCATGACTGGATACATCAGCCTGCCTTTGAAGTACCACTGCTTACTTTATATGCAGTCACAGTATAAGTCACTGACATTGCATAGAGGATGTCTTGCTTGTAAGATGCATTAGGCACAAGAAAAACTGAAACACTGCTTAGCACATCTAAAAGTCCTTGGATAGAAGAGGGCTCATGCGTTGCGTACACTTCTCTCAGAAAGGGACTTTTTTCCTGTTTATGTACCTTTGTGTCCCTTTTCTGTATGCCTGTGCATTGCTTGATAAGTTTCTTCTACTTAAAGTTTGGTGTGGTTATAATTAACTGGTTTTAGTAATAAGGATCCAGTGCCACCCTGTGGAAAATCAATGAAAATACCAACATACAGAGAGTAAAATCTTGGAGGCAAGAACACAGGTGGGTTAGGGGGGAAAAGAGCCTAGGGAGGTGATCAGGTCTCATTTGGAGGGAGAGGGGGACCCCAGAACACTGCGGGGGGCTTCCCTGCTGAGCTGTGTGTTGCAACCGAGTACTACACACTTGTAGCAAACACTGCCACGTTGCTTGGCACAGATGCCCCCCTAGCAACTACAGTGAGGACTGGTATGTGAAAAAGGAAAGAAAAAAGGAGCTTGGAAGATGAGGAGTTTGGATCGGAGAAACAGCTTACCACCGTATGCATTTCTTCATGCTGACTTAAAAGCAATCTGTTCTCTCAGAAGTCTTGGTGTGCTAGAAGAATGGCATCATGAGAAGCCCAGTCTGTGGAGTTTTACACTTTTGAATGTGTTCTTTTTCACCCAGTAATCTTGCTTAATGTTTTATACATATGAACACATGAAGCAATTAGGTGAAAAAAAGCTTTGTAGCTTTGAGTATCTGAAAGGACTGTAAATTGTTATAGGTGACTAGTCCTAAATGAATGCCGGGACCAAATTATAGTGAAATCTTTTTAAGTCTTACACATCTATATCTAAGTCTTGTGAGTCACACTCTATATATATCCTATATAGCAAAATACAGGAAAAAGTTTGGGAGAAAATACATCTTTATGAGCAGCCATTTGGGTATGTACTTTTGAGGCTTTGAAAGGGAGTGCACTGCAATTTTTGTCAGTGTGGTTTTGCTGCCTGTCTAAGGAAAGATAAAAAACATGTTCACCTGTATTTGGCATGTTGAGTCTTTATATATAAGCCCAAATTAATGGAGTTAGGTCTAATTAATTCTTGTCAAGGGAGAGGGAGGAAACCTGTTCTGACAGTTTCCTTTTTTTCTCATGGATGCTTATAAACAATTGCATTTGTCAGCATGCTTCATACCATCTCCTATCTCCTTTGTTCAGAGCTGTACCTCAGTGATGAGGAGTTAAAGAAACTCCATGACTTTGAGGAACAGTGTGTGGAAAAATACTTTCATGAGAAGAACGAAAGCCTGAGTTCCAGTGACAGTGAAAGGATCCGTCTGACAACAGAAAGGTGTGTTTTGCTGCAGATTTGTGCTCATTGTATACATTTGTCATATAAAAAGACTTTGATAAGCTAATGCTTTTGGCCACTGTGAACATGAGGAGCAATAACATGCACAGGCCTTGCTAATTTGGTGGAAATGTCATGTGCCTGTTCGAACTGCATTGCAGGCCTGGCTGGGAAGCCTTGCTGGCAGAATTGCATCCCCAGATGTGTGCAGTGTGCAGGTGGTTAAAGTGGTACAGTAAAATGTTGCTCAGTTTCACTTTTGCAGACCAGGTAGCACCACGAAAACATGCCAGAGTACAGCATACAATACGTATTTTTATTTAAAGGCTTAGCAGTGTAGGAACACTGTGAGAATATTGCTTGTGATTGAGTATAACTGCTGTTTACAGAAATAACCGTATAACCATTGTAGCATTATCTGCAACCTAGTGTCTTGGTTTGCAAAATGTCAACACACAACTGTCAACGGGGTTTCAAAACTCTCAGTATTGGCCTAATTTAGCTCTCTATTGAAATCAGTGGCAAAGCTGCCATTAAGTTTAATGGGAAGAGTTAAAGAAAGTGAGCACTATAAAAAGTCTTACCGAATGCCAATACTGATTTCATCTAATAAATTTGTTTTGCCTAGAGAAAGATAGCCTCTTAATCTTTGCCTGTTCATAATCTTATTTTCTGCATACTAAAACAAAACACACAAGCAAAATTAATGTCCCCTGTAAAAGAAATAAAATAAGTAGCTTTGTTCAAAAGCTGCAGAATCGATTACAGCAAGAAGATTTCATTTAGTGGATAAATATAGATCTGGAAAGGAATTTTTTTCTGAGTGCAAAGGTGAGACACACTTCACAGCATTGCATAACATTAATACAAGAAATTAACTGAGATGAATAAAATATTTTGGAACACTGGTCTTTGATTTTATTCAGCTATTGGTTAACTACTACATCTTTTAGTTACTCAGTGACAAAGGAAAGGAGCAACTTTTGCATATTGCATGCAGCTAGTGTATCATTGTCTTGGTGATAGAGCACCAGAAAGAGTATCTTCAGGAAACACAAAGATAATGATTTGGTTAAAAAGATATCGTTCCAGGCCAAGAAGTTCTTGAACTGTTTACGGGGGATTTGAAGACCATAAAAAAAGGCTTTGCTTTTTGGGCAGTTGAATTTTGCCTGAAGATAACTGATGGCATCAGACATACAGAATCTGTTCCCAGAGGCCAAACAGGTTATTGGGAAGATCCTTTTCCCACCGGTCTCCAGTATTTGAGAAATGCAAGAGTATCTGTAGGTTTGTGTGAGCCTTGTCCTTCTCAAGCTTGCACAAGAAATGTAGAAATGCAGAACGACTGACTGACAAGGAGTGTACTTCACAGCATTTTACATTTACAGCAATAGCCAGTGCAGCATTTCCAAAGCTGTGTCCTTCTCTCCATGGTTCAGTAGTTCTATGGCAAGGAATGGACATGAGTAGGAAAACAGCAGTTTTTAAAATAGATACTACTTGAGCAAAAAGCCTGTTCCCTTAAAAGTCACTGGCTGTTGGCCCAGTAATCTGAATAACATGTTGTAAGTTTGGATGGGTTTTGTCAAATATAGATATTCATGGGAATGGAAGTCATCATTAAAAAAAAAAAAAGGGCTGTTTGAAACACTGACTTTTTGAAATGTGTTAATGGCTTCCTTCATCATCTGGCAAACAGAAGTAAAGATCTGTGTTTTGGTATTTTAATTGTCTTTTCTTTTTCCACCTAGAGTGGAAGAGATGTTTCTGCAGCTTAAAGAAGTGCATGAGAAGGTATTTTATATCAAGGAGTCTTTACTCTCCCTGGACAGCCAGCTAGGACATTTGCAAGACCTGTCTGCCTTGACAGTGGACATCCTGAAAGTGCTTTCAGCTGTAGACACCTTGCAGGTGGAAGAAGCCTTATTGGCTGACACAAAACATCAAACCTGTAGGAAGCTGCCCCATAGCTGGAGCAATGCGCTCTATTCCAAGACCTTGAGCAGCCTAGAGTGTTTGTATGACAAGAAGTACCGCTATTACAGCATGCCACCCTCTCTCTTACGGAGCCTGGTAAGGAGTCAGTGGCCATCAGACCACGTATTGAGGACTGAGACTAACAAGATGGTAGAAGACAGCTCTCGAAAGATAGAGATAGAAAGTGACACACTCACTTCAGGAGTATCCTCTGAGATGAAGTCAACCCCTAGATATGGACAATTTTTGTTGGTGCCCCCTGACCATCAGGGAGGGTCTTTCTCTGAGGATGTCACCTTAAATTTGTCCTTTTTAAGCACTCCTGCCAAGTACAGGGACGATGCATTTAGAGATGAACTGCAGAGTAGCATTGTGATGCAGCAAAACTTGCGGAGTGTCAGCCTCATTGGAAAAGAGCCAGAAGATTATCAATGGAGCCAGAGAGACTTTGTTATTCATTTGCCATCAGAAAAGACTAATGCCGTAGAAGCTGATCATCCTCTTGGTCTCCAGCCATCGCTGGATATTGAAGAGAGTGCAGCACCCTGCTGTGGTGACAGGGAAGAAACTGAAGGTGGTTATGTGAACTGGGGATTCTCTGAAGGTGATGAAAAAGGGGTTTTCAGCTCAAGGAAGAAACAAAAGAAGGCCCTGTGCATACATTCCACCTATAATCGTGACTGCAATTGCACAGGTAGTCCTCCCAGGCATGGCCAGATAAGAGAATCGAAGTCCTTCTCCTACAACTCCAACAGGTCACGTCACAGCAGCATCATCTCTCAGAACAAGCTAAAACGCAGCACCTCCTTCTGGGTCAGCCCACTCTGGAGGGACTGGAGTTTCTGCAGGAGCAACAGCTTACAGTCCCCTAAGAAAGAGAAAAGAGGGAAAACCTGCAAGGCCATAGGTAGTAATTATAAAACACTACACCTGTACAAGTATCTTTTACTGGGGAGCCGAAGACGTTATAAAAATGTTTCCTTTGCATCCAGGAGGTATTAGCTGCAGTTGAGGGTAGTAGCAGAGAGTCCAGAACTACTCCTTCACTTTCTTTGTGCTGGGTCTGACTGCTGTAGGGAGTTTCTGAAGTGTGAGTCGTATCCAAGCTGCACCACACCTGTGTATCAGCCACCCTGATTCTCCCCATCTTATGGGATCCCTGTGGCTGTGGCTACACAGCTGGTGTGACAGAGGGACTGTGCTCACTCAGGGGAAGTCTCCTGCCCTGGGGATCCAGTTCAGGAGTTGCAGGAGCCAAAATAAATCACACAATCCCTAAGAGATACATTAGTGGTATCATAGGTCAGATGGATGCATGGAGAATGAAGAGGTACACATTTTTGTAGCCAGTTTAAAACCCTCCCTGTCCACCACCAAGTTTGCTTACCAACAGGTAAAATACAGCAGATTCTAGTTCTAAGTATGAATAGTATGAGATGATGGATTACATTTGTTGGTTTATATCTTGTGATGGTGCACATCTTTGCACTGAACTGCATGAGTATTAGCTTTGGGTGTCACAAGTCTTTCTTCAGCTTGCTTTGGAGATCTACCAACTCTCAGTCTTATCAGATCTTCTCTTAGTAAACAAAAGCTCTGTAGC